TGAGTAATTACAACATACATAAATAAATCAGCATGATTCATTTTTAGAATTTGTTTATTTTATAGAGATTTTTCTACATAAACTTGCTTCTTAAATGTAACTTCAAAATAAGCATTATAAATTATAATCTCTTTTTAAGAAAAATACCATTACTATATTATTAATATAACATAGCAAAGTTAACATTCTTTATAAAATCTTAACTTAAAATCAGTAATAAATAAATGCAACCTTCTTTTTTGAAATCAAAACAGTTTAACTAAAAACAAGTATTTTTTAGTTATAAAATATTAAACAGAAATGAATATTTTATTTATATTTCTAATTGTTAAAAGTCTTTTAAATTTAATATTAAAAAAAATTTGTCATTAATTTTTACACTAAGAAAATAAATTGAAAAGGAAACATTATAAAGGCTTATATAATATATATAATTAAATTTAAATATTAACTTAAAATCTAAAAATGCTAAAACATGAATTTCTTTAAAAAAAATATGCAAACGTAAGCTAAAAATAATTTAAGAAATCTAACTTTCAACATAAATATTTTCTTAAAATTTCTTAGCAAATATTTTTGAAACAAATATAATTTTTCTAAAAGTTAATAGTATTTTCAAAAAAAAAAAATTTTTTTTAAATCTAAAAGACAATGCTATAGCTTTATAATCACCACAATAATAATTTTCTTTATGTCACAGAAAAAAGAAGCTATAACATGTAAAATTAAAATAATCCTATTGTTGATATTTTGTTAATGCAATTATCTTTTAAAATCAATTTAGGTACGTTTCAAAACTCCACAATATACCAGTTGCATTTACATACATTCTTTTATTCATTTATTACACATTAATTTATTATTTAGTAAATGAAATATTTAGAATAAATCAATAATAATTATATTGCATTGTAATAAATAAGTTACTTATGACAATGATTAACCCACATTTAATTTAACAAGTGCTTTGATTTTTCTTTGGAACTATTGAAACAATTGCATTGTAATCAATATTAATCTGCAATTTTATAACTTTGTATCATTATTATATCTTGTACTTGATTAAAGATATATGATACAATAAAAAACAAACATTTGTCAAACTGACAAAAAAAATAAATCAAAAAATAAGTTCAAGTATTGTATTCCATACCATTTTATTCAATGAGAAATTTTCATTAAAATTACTATAATGTATATTATAATTAATTAATTGTTTACAGAGTGGGATCTAAATGGGGCATTAGGGGCAACTTACTCCCCATATATTTTTGTAACTAATAGGAGTTTAATTATTCCTTATATTTTAATATTTTTATTAGGCTATTACTTTTTCAATTTTATACATTTTTGTGTTGTTTAAATTCTTGCAGTTTATTTTTATATATTGTTTGTTTCATTATAGGAATTAAAAATAATCTATCATAAGATTTGTTCCAGGATCTATTCTGGATCTATATAAAGAAAAAGAAAGTTACCCAATAGACAAAAAGTTATCAGAGGTGTAGTGTTCCTGCGAGGAACAACAGATTCCAAAGAAATATGGTATACATTGGGTCCACTAAGCACTCAATACACAAAAGGTTGCAGGAACATTGTTACAACATTTCGAATAAAAGGCATACTCCACCCTGTCCATTTACACCACTGAAACAGATGTGCAAGCCAATCTCCAGAATGCCACTTTAATTAAGCAATCATTTCAAACTGATCAAATCAGAGCCCAAGAATACTTGGTTGACCTGACTGGCAATGGTATTGATTTTAAAGAAGGAAAAAGCATCTCATATGCACAGTAATGCTTTTATGAAAAACCAAGAATTGTCAACATAAATTAATTATTATTATAATTTATTATTTTGTATTATTTTATTTCTTATATTTATATCTGGGATTAATTGTATATTTACCACAGATTAATTTTTTGTTGTTTTACAATGTTATGTTTTTGTTTATTTATTTAGAAAAATATATTAAAAAATTTGTGTTCTGTACATTCTAATTTTGGAATATCATTGACCTGAGGCAGACCTTGGTTAAAGTCAAAAACATTTGTCTTTTGTTACTAAAATTTAAACTTCCAGAAACAAACTTTTAATGTAAAAAGTTATCACAATAACTATAATACAAATATTCCAGGATTTGCATTATATTATTTTATTGATAATTGTTATCATTATTCTTAATTTAAAAAAAAAAGCATTTTTAAGTTGTATTTTTATATTTTAGCCTCAACATGGGACTGATAATGTACAATCATCTTCAGTCTTAATTTGTTACAGTAGCAAATATTTGTTGGTTGCAGGTGCCTGTTCCTGTGCCTTCAAGTGCTTTAAATGTCAAAATGTTAATTATTTTAATCATTACTAGTTTACAATGCAGTAGTTTAAATTGCTGAAATTTCTTATTTCAATTATACACAGATTTAAAGGTAATTAATAATAATAATTACAAGTAATAAATCTTTATGTTAGACATATTTTATGTTTTAAACATATCCTTTTAATGTTATAGTCAATAAAACCAAATTTTATTAATTGTAGTCTTTCTTTACTTTCCCACTTATTGTTATCAGCATAGACAAATCTTAAGTGATTACAATAAGTAGATTTTACTGTAACTGTTAATGCATTTTATGTGTATATGTATGTACTGTTAATAAACTACACAAATGTTTCCTAATGAAATAAATATTTATTGCATCATCTATCATACACAAATTTCTATTGTTTCACAATAACTGTAACATGTTATAGAATTTTTAATTCTATGCATATTGCATTAGACATAGAATTAATAATGCAATATGTATTAAAATTCAGACATTTTAAATAATAAGATCAAAGAATGTAACAGTTCTAAAACAGAAAAAGTATTTTTTTATTCCATAAAAAATTAAATATTTACAAAACAAGATATTTAATTTAGATTAAATATGATCAAATAAACAGATGCAAAATAAACATACACAAATTTATTTTGCATCTGTTTATTTTGTTCATGCAACAAGTTTTAAATCAACACAACAAACAGAAGTTTTGCATCAAATTATATAAATTATGTATGTGTTGAGTCTTCATGCGGAAAAAAATGTAAAGTGCAGTGGCACATCCAGAGGGAGGAAAAAGGAAACAAACTAGAAATTTTCCAAAATTCTTTTTTTTAATTAAAATTCATTCTTTTATTTATATTGTGTTGTGTCTTCTATTTCTATACTACTAATAAATTAACAGTCACATAAACTGGGAATTTTATTGAATTTGCATTAAAAATGTTTTTATCCATTCAACTTAGCCCAAAGATTAAATCCTGAATGCACTACTGATGAAGTCATTAGTCTACTGTGTTCTGGGATACCCAGGATTAAATCTGGGTGAGCCCAGGAATTTTTTGGGCAGTTTGTCCTGGTTATGTTGAAACTATTACACCCTGTCCCTCACCATCTGGGTGCCCCAATTATAGGCTTGGCCAAACCCTTGATGAGTATAGGAAAATAAGATTGTCTTAGTTCCCATAGAGAAGAAAGAATTTAAAATAAAGATGTACTGATAATCAGCCAAGCCAATATATTGATCACTCATTGGCCACTTCTATAATTAGCAATGATTTTGCCTATATATAATACCAATATTGGCAAGATTGGCAGACTATATTCAATACTGAATAAGATTAAATTTCTGTTGAAACCATTTCTATACTGCATTTTGATATTTCTTTATAATGCATTTTGATAATTTATTTGATATTTCTTAAGAGTGAATGATCAGCAGAATAGGCTATTTTCATTGAAAAAATTTAACAAGTGCTGAATTTGATGTCCTACTAAGCATGTAGCTGTTGGAACTTATTTGTACAGAATGATCACCATACTAACTACTACTTGATGTGCTTCTGTATGATGATTTATTAGATGGCTTTTCATATTTGTGGTATTAAAAGTCTTGGGAGTAGAACCACTTTGTGAAACTTTAGTTGACTAAGTATTATTTAGTAAATCTTAAATCCCACTTTTCAGTTTTAAAAAATTTCCAAAGGCTACTGTACTCATTTTCCTGAATTCATTTTTAAACTTCATATTTATATATCACCAACTATCATTCTTGAATAGTGCTAAACTTATTCACAAACACAACTACTATAAAAGAACCATTTTCATTTGAAAGGGAGTATTTGTATTATAATTGCTGCTTAAAATTTTAACCATTTCAAAGATATGTAAAAAAAAAAAGTCTGCAAACCTTAAAATTATAGAACAAATTCAGACTCAAATAAAACTATAATTTTTGCTATCCAGTGTTTGCCATCCAAAAACATGTGCTATCCAGTAGAGATTTAACAGATACTGTATAATTAATTAACAGATTAAAGTTTGCATCTGTTAAATTGTAGCTATTACTCTAACTATGAGCCCCTCATAATTGATATGAATAAGTTTATTATGAAATAGTTTTTTTAATAAAAGTAATTTACTGAAAAGTTTACGAGTTACTTTTATTTTTATCTGTTTAATTATCTGAAAACCCAATTCGTTTTAGAACTTTCCTTGATATTATCTAAAATGTCTGAATTTTAATGCATATATTATTGTAATTGCTTTGAATCTATATAAATTTTCTTTTCTTTGTATTTCATCAATTACTTATTTTTTAAAATGTCATAAATCATATCATATGAACAAAATTTGCAATTTTTATAAATAAATCTGCAAATTTAAAAATTTTATTAGTTTATTTCTAATTTATAAAGTAAATTATTAATTATTTATATTTTATTATTTAAAAAAAATTTTTTATAAGTTTTGATAAAGATCATAAGTGCATCAGGATGCTAATTTTATTTTTTTAATCATATATTAAATTATAATGTTAAAGTTTAACACATTATACTTGTCATAAAGTTTAATTCTTTTTTTATGCAGAAAATATATTAATATTAAAAACCAAAATGTATATAGTGAAGACAGCAATACCTAAAACTGTCATTTTTTGCTCCACACTTACACTTTTCTCCAGTTCTTCCCCTTAAACACTACTACTATGTTTATGCTGCACATTCATTAAAGGTCGGCCACGTTGCCCAATTGAAATACGTCAATTACCTCAAATTTCCCTATTCGAATCGATAAATTTCCCTAAATCGATTAATTTATTTTTAAATATTTTCAGTATTTAAATTTTACGATCATTAAAAATATTTTTTGGGTTTAACTATAAAATTTTTTCACGATTATATTTTTAAAAAATATTTTAAAAAAAACATAAAATAAATTCATAGTTTATTCATTAGAAAATTGTCTTAAATATTATTTAATAATTAATAATTTAATAAAAGGGAGACACCAATTGAAAGTAAGATATCTTATAAAATAAAATGTATTTTTTTTTCTAATGTTAACACTAACAAACTGTTTCATTCACTGCCGAACAGGAAACGGTGGTGCCAAACAATCAAATTTCGCGAAAAATGGATCAAATCTTTAAACTTCACACCCTCGAAAACCACTTAAATCGTATTTTATGCTCGTCGTAATCTCGTATTATGTAATTTTCCTATTAGAATGCCACCATACCGGTGAGTCCGATAGAAAGAAGGGACTTTTTAACAAGCCCATTATGGGTTTGGCCAGGCCCACAATGGACGGCTGGATGGTGAGGGACGGGGCCCGACTTATCCGGACGGAAAAATTCCTGGGGATTTTTCTACCCGTTCGGATTCGATCCCGGGTCCTCCAGAGCGGTATAGGCTGTCACCTTGACCGCTCGGCCGTCTGACTACAGGTGTTCGGTGGTTTCATCCCCTCGGTTACTGGAGGATACTTATCGAGCAGTAATTTGAAAAAATTGTAGACCTATAAATTCCCACTTTCGTCCGTCCGTCTTTGTCCTTCTTTAACGCAGTTAATTAATTTCTCGATGCTATCGCGTTAATCAAATAGAACGGTAACTCGGTACTCGACCAAACAATCACGATCCGTTAGAATAATTTTCGATTAATAGAAATATTTTTATTTTTATTTTGTCGCCAGTAAAAAAGTTTTCTGTAATAAAAATGAGTAACTAAATGAAATTTTAGATCTCCTTTAGGAATTAAGAAAAGAGCAATATTCAAATATTTTCCACTGAATACCGGTCATTTATTTAGATAGATGACCGGCAATCAATTTAATTCTATTGTTAACAGAAAAACTACAATGTACAGGGCAGGGGCGTGCCGTGACATTTGATGATAGGGAAGCTGTGTTTCTATAAGAAGCCGACTTCCAGGGACAATCAGTTAATTCTTTCTTTAAATGTATTTTTAATAGATTATTTATCTGACGTACTTAATAAATAAACAAGTTCAATATAATTACCTCTGTTATTGTTTCAATAGGTTTCCTTTTGCTCTCTAAATGCCAATTCTTGCTTTGATAAAAACATATAACATCTATTTATTTACATATAATATATCTATTAGCCGTAACTCGTTATGATTTTCAATATTTATTTTATATTATTTACTAATGTTAAATTCTATTCCGCTTCGATTTCCAAATTGCTTCAAATACGAAAGAATCGACGATTTTTCGTGTCTTTTGCCAGCTAAATTGTCAAAGACATTCTTATTCCACACACTAATTTCACTCTGTAAATGCATTTTTATGCATTTACAGAGCCATTTTATCGTGAAAATATCGAACAAATTTTTTT